CCCCCCGTCCCCACCTAAATTCCCATGTCTAAGATCATCTTTACTTCTCTTTTCATATTGAATTTTAATGAGAGTAATATAATTCAAATTTTTTATATATACCTGCATCTGTTTTTATGGTCCTGTACAGCCAAGAAATATTTCCTTCTGGGATAATAAAGTATTATTTTTTCTTATCTTATCTTATTTTTTTCTGGCTCTCTTGCGATTTCATCTTACAGAGGAGGTTCGACTGCTATAATCATTGGGATCAGGATTCAGAGTGTTAACATAACCAGTTTGAAAAGTAAAATGTGACCTAAGTAAATAATCTATAGAATATGAGAGAGAGCTCACCTTCTAACCGTCTGGCCATCTCTCTGCTACACAAAATATTTGCAAGCTTGCTCTGTCCATAGGCATTAAGCTTGCTATATGATTTCTCACTGTTCAAATCCTCAAAATTCATTTTACCGAGAGTGTGACCTAGACTGGATACAAAAATTATTCGGCTTGGAGCAGACGCCTTCAGCTTGTCCATAAGGAGTTGTGTCAACAGAAAATGACCTGAGAAGAGATAAAATCTCCCTGAGTGCAAAGTCATAGTAATGGAAAACAACCGATCACTGTGTAACATAATAAATAATAAAAATAGCTTGTGTGTCAATGTCTGACGACTACAAAGACATCTGTAGAGGAGAGTTTCTCATGCAAAATAGAAGAATTAGAAGAATTAAAGGTTGAGATGACTTGAGGCCCCTGCCTTGGCCAATGAGACCAATTCTGGCAGAGAAAAGTAGGTCGCATTTTGAACACTTCTCCCAGCCTATGCAAGCCTGCTGCCACCACACTCACCCGTCGGAGGCATAGGCTTGGGAAAAATTGTGTAACATACAGTATTGGTTACACACACTACTCTGTCACATTGGGTGATAACATTAATGCCTCTTTGGTCTATGACCCATGATCTGTGATGACCGTCCGGGTGATATATATCAAAAGCAGGAAGTCACTACAAGCGGTATAAACAACAGGATTTGAAGCAGTTCTAATCCACCTGGAAAGACTGAAATACTCCATAAAACAGAATTCCCTACTTCAAAATCAAATTCCTGTCTTCTGCAAGCTACTGCAAAGAGCCTTATCATTTTACCACAATAACCAGTCTGAAAACTACCCTTTATCTTACATTAATGTGAAAATGAAACGCCCCCTCCCCCCACAAAAAACACAAAACAAAACAAAAACAAAGTCCTACAGCTGACTAAAAGATCAACTGAACAAATCAGTTTAATTAGTGATTTAAAGAGAGAAAAAAATAACAATAAAACAGTATTACAAAAAACGGACTGAATGCACTGAGAGTAAATTTCTCTCTGTCATGAGGTTGATATCTTACCAAAATGATTCACCCCAATCTGCATTTCCAGCCCATCCTCCGTAAGCATCTTGGGACACATCATGACGCCAGCATTGTTGATCAGGATGTCCACATGACTCTCAGCTAGGATCAACATTTTCATACAATTAAAAGACAATATATAGCGGCACTGCCACAAGAAATGATATGTTTAACTATTAATCTTGTTTTTCACCCAGTAAACATGGGTCAAATGGACTTGAGCAACTATACATTGAAATTTATTCCTTAAAACTTCTCTCCAAAATTTATAATCAATACATGGATTATGGCCCTTAGCAAATTCCAGGCAAATTTTAGGTTTTTACATAAAAGCAATAAAGTGTCAGTAGATACCACTATAGGGACATAAACATAGAATGAAAGCCCACAAGATGCTGGATTAACAACAATCATTAGCAAAATCCAACAACCACTTCAGTGTTATGTCTGGAGCTCTTTCCGGCCTTCTGAGATCATCTTAGTGTTGTATGGAACTGTTCCTCATTATTCCTAGTGGTACGACAGAGGCACTTTATCAACATCTTGAAGTAGAGATGTTCTCTGTCTGTAAGTTTACATGTGTACTGGCCCAAAGTTGCCCTTATCTTACCCTTGTCTTTAAAAAAAGTTGACAAACAGTTAGGTGCAATGTCATGTCCACCACAAACTCCTTTTCATTTTTTACCCTTTTCAGACTGCTTCAGTAAACAGCAGTTTAGTTTTAAGCAAGGTGTTTTATCTTCTCTTAGATGCCAAAGAACACAGAGCTATTTCGTTATGAAGTAATGCAGTGCTACCATAAACAGTGGGCTGTTGAAGTGCACACTCTGTAAAAACACACTTCACTAGCACTGAAAGTTACTGCCATATAACAAATTGATTGCTGAACAATTTGTATAATAACACATCAGGACCTATTGCTAGGGTTAGATTTGACTAGGCCAACCAGACATTTGATTCCACATACATGCATATAACTCATTCTGTAGACTTAGAAGCATGTGGGAACAATTTTATGATACAGTCACATCAGCACCAAACCTCACCTGACTATCAACGCCCTGCATGCATGGCCTGCCCCAACTCATGCCGCCCCACACACACGTATATAAATTATATACTATATGCACTCCTTCTACACAAGCAAAGTATGTGAGCTGGCAGCTTATCCATCCTCTCACAATCCCAGCACCAAGTCAAGACACATATCTTACACACATGTTCACATCACACAATGAACTGGTTTAAAAGAAGACCTCGTATAAGTTGCAAAAGATGGCCATGGGTCTCTGATAAGTCCATCATAGTGTACACTGCAAGATTTGAAATAAGCATGTAATGATTCAGGGTGCAAGGTGATCGACAGTCCCTTTAAATAGAGAGGAAAAGGTTTGTTGCCAGAATAAAATGCGTGAAGCCACATCAGTGGGGATTTTAAAAATAAGGTATTCTTTTCAGTTTTTGTTGAGTCTGAGTTCAGCGAATGCTAGTTTCACAGTGAGCGAAGACTTAATAAAAATGACAGTATCAGAAAAAAACAACACTTCTGATAATGAAATCTCAAGGAAGTTATTTCCCTTTACCATAAAATCTGAACAACTTCAAATACTCACTTGAATTTATCAATTTTGCAAATGCACGAATAGAGGCGAAAGATGCAAGGTCAAGCTTCTGGCACTCGATGTTCTTATTTCCTGTCTCTTCCACAATCTCTTTCTTGGCCTGTTCACATTTTTCAAGATCTCGACATGCCATGATGATGCGGCCACCTGGAGGAGATTTGTCTTTCTCAAATAACACTTGTGACAAAATAGTCTAAAGTAAAGAAACTAATTTATTCTCTCTCTCTCTCTCTCTCTCTCTCTCTCTCTCTCTCTCTCTCTCTCTCTCTCTCTCTCTCTCTCTCTCTCTCTCTCACAAACCCCTTAAAAATTAATCAAATAATAAATACAAATTATAAAAAGTGCAACCATTTTAAACACCATTTTGTTCAGAATGAATGTACAGTTTGAATCTGACATTAGTTGATCTACAATCTCAAAGGTGGAATGAATCAAACTGATTTGAAAAAGTCCACACCCACTCACTCACCAACAATCACACAGTTTCTGACTGAAAGCCAGTTTACAGCATACCTCTCCCAGCCAGGTCCCGGGCTGTTTCTTTCCCAATTCCGCAATTTGCCCCGGTGATGACAACAGTTTTACCGTCAATACGCTCCTTCCCATAATAACGACCTCCACTCATGTACTCCTTGAGAAGGATGCAGCTTACAGGAACAAGTATCAGAAGTAGACCAATGACAAAATCTAGAAAGCTGAAAGCAATAAACAAAAAAAGACTACAGTTAATTTTACTTTTCAACTGTAAACTCTGAAATGTTTCAATACAAAAACAACTGCTACAGATTGCTCCTTTTACCTTGATAAGCCCTTCCACATTCTGAGCTTCTGAAGAGAAATTTCTAAACTGAATTAATAATGAATGAGATAAAACTATCTACATCCAATTTTCACACGTAATTTCATGCAAGATATTATACATAATACATTCAAACCTCGTTATATCTTAGTAATTACTGTCATTATTGACATTAGCAGAGGGCACTGAAAATCCTGTGTGACTTAGGTACCGTATGACTGACAATTTTAACTAGTTTTGCTCTAAAAATACAAAATGAATCCTAATCTGGGCCTGTGGAGACGCCAGAACATCAACTGCCAAAACCATGTTTGGGTTTCAGCAATCACGGATTTTAAGTAAGTTTATTCAGTGTTTAAGGCCATTGGCCCACATCACATCATATAAAACACTCATTTGATAAATAAAGTTTCCATAATGAAAAAGTACAGGTTGACCACACGTCTTTTATCAAGGGTCAAACATTGCATATTTCTATCACTGGGCCGAGTCAGGCTGGGGGGAATTAACAATTTCCTTTGATGGACAAAGTGTGGAAAATAGAAAAGAGAGTGAAATTCATCTTCAATTTATTGAGAGTTACACCATTCCCATAAGGGTGAATTTGTTAACTTCTACTGATAGCGATTGTTATCTAAAGGAAGGCTATGAGTCTTTAATAAAGCTATAACTCTTATGTTCCAATACCGTGGGAGTGGGAGGTTGGAGACAGCTGTTTCTTGAAACAGAATTGTAAAAGAGAATAAATTATACTTGCGACAGACTTCCTCCTCTATGTTCTGCACAGAATGATCAACAAGCCTACTTTTTTACTTTACTAACAAATAATCTCGTATTTCCAACACTTTGAGAAAACCAGGCATATCCAAAATCCAGGGAAAATAATAGGTCTTTAACTTCAGTAGCCCAGATGACTCTGCCCAGTTCACAGGAACAATATAATTGCATGTAACATTTCTTCGGATGTTTCTAAGTGTATAAGTCTGCACCACAATTTACAGACACAATACATATGTAATCAGAACATAAATTTGTTTTTCCCACTTCTCATTCATAGAACTTAACATTTGGGTATAGCTTTGCTAAGACCCAAAAAGGCTTTCCAGAACTTTACCTGAACATTATCAATCACGTTCCAACTTTTGGTACCCCAAATTTCAGAGCCATAGAGCAGCATAGGTTTAATCTTTATATCAAAAATGTTTTTCGCTGTTTCGAAAATTTAGTTCTTGGTAAGAACCGAAAAGCCTTCTTGTTTGAGAAACAATCCGTTAAGCTTTACAAGCTCAATCTTCTAGTGTTCGTCTCCAGTATAGATGCGATGAAAATGAAATGCCTAAGTACCTATAATGGGTTACTGTCTCTAAGATCTTACCTTCCCAAAACCATCTCTAAGATCTTTTGAGATAGCCTCCATTTCTAAAAACAACAATTCTACTTTTCTCTGCATTCACTTTTAAACCCCATATCTGGCGGGAAATCATATAACATTATTTATTTTCTTTTGTAAACCTCTGACACTGTCATCAAAAGGACTGAGGTTATCAGCGTACATTAAATTAAGCATAAAACAACATCATTATCATAGGGCAATATCTGTACAGCATGGGTATTTGAATCTGAAAGGTGTTTTTCAAACTGAGAAATAAAAAAAAGGAAATAATATAGGGCTGAGTATGCAGCCTTGTTTGACACCTGATGTACATTGGATTTTAAAAAGCAAGCAAGACAAAACTGATTTTTAAAAAACTTTTATAGTTAGGCTCACGGCAGACCAAAAAGTGACATCATGTACTGAGAGCCGGAAAGCTGGAAGGACAGAGGGCGCGGGATGTAGTGATGCTGAAAACCTGGCAATCACTGTATCATGGACTAAGTATTTATTATTTTGGCAGCCAGTATTTTTACGACATGTCGTGGAAAAAATTTTTACGAGAAAAAAAATGTACGCGTATTTTCACAACTTGTTTTTCTCTTTGGACCTATCAGTAAACAGCTGGGTCATGCCAGAGGGGAATATAAATAGACTCTCTGCCCTTTGGCCATGCCTTCTCTCTCTCTCTCTCTCTCTCTCTCTCTCTCTCTCTCTCTCTCTCTCTCTCTCTCTCTCTCTCTCTCTCTCTCTCTCTCTCTCTCTCTCTCTCTCTCTCTCTCTCTCTCTCTCTCTCTCTCTCTCTCTCTCTCTCTCTCTCTCTCTCTCTCTCTCTATATATATATAAGAATGGCGGATGCGAATCCCCATCCCTTCGAAGTGGGACGAATTTTTAAAGAGTATAGTGAGTTTGAGGAAAAACTTCGGAAGTACTGCGGTACAAAGTATCTTTTCAGCAAAAAATCCTCGAAATCAGCCACCGCCAAGAACAACACAATCGAAGACGAGTCGAAACACTACCCGGCGGAGTGGCAGTACTGTTTCTGTTTATGTCTCTTTCTTTAACAAAGATTTATGAAAGCTTTCTGAGGGTTGAAAATAGCATTTTTCCATTGCCCCTATTACTCAATTTGTCATCAACTTCAATCCTGACGGTATGATCACCAATCCTATAGATTCTACTCTAATTTTTCACCATTTTTTACGCGTTTGATTGTGGAATGCCAAAACCAGAGCACATTTTCACTTACTTTTTAAAAATTATTTTTTGGGCAGTCTTTATTTTCACGCCCGAGCCACGCAAAGGGACAGTGGTCGAGAGCACACAAATAGGCCTATAACTTACAGCCGAGGGTGGGATTTTAGATCTACCGCTCGAGAAGCAAGAAAGCAAGCATGCCCCCCCCCCCCCTCCTCCTTTTCTCTCTCTGTCTCTCTCCTTTTTTCAAAGATTTCGGAATGTAGAGATCTAGGTTACTTGTTTGGCAAGGGAAAGTTGAAGTTGGAAGCACTCTCTGCACCTATCGTATCGCAAATCTGGTGGTTTTGACACCTTAATCGGAATGTCGCTAGAACAAGTCCAAAATCAGAAACAAAATCTAGATCTATCTAAAAAAAATTGCTAAGAAAATCTAGACCTCTGCGGTATGTTGTTGTTGTTGTTATCGATCCAGCAACATCTGGGCTCTCGCCCTTCTGTCCAATGCCATGTAGTGATAAGTTCAGGTTTGCTGCAGTTGCTGTAATGTTCCGTAGAGTGTGTTGTCGAAGTTAGGTCTCGGAGGGAGAAGGGTAGCTCTGATGTCATTTAGGGCTGCACAGTGGAACAGGTGATGATCCACAGTCTCATATGCATAGTCACACAAAGGACACATTGGGGGAAGTTCTGGTTTTATTCTGTTCAAGTGAAAGTTGAGCTGTATATGTTCTGTTCGTAGGCGGAAGATCGTGGTCTGTTTCTTTCTCTGTAGGTGGTTGATATTGTCATTTCGTTTTGTTGTAGTCATATGTTTGAAAACTGCTCTGCCTGTCTTTCCCAAGGCCCATCTGTTCATCCAATCTTGTTTGCTGTTGCTTTTAATGATTTGTTTTGCAGTGTGGTATGAAGTTGGAATGTTGGGTGTTCCTGTCTAGATCCCCTTTTGGCGAGTGTGTCTGCTCTGTCATTTCCAGGTATGTTTGAGTGTCCGGGAATCCACTGCATCACCAGGTTGACGCCACAGAATGTTATCAGATGATGGGAGCCAAACAGTATATGTGTCAAGCCTTCGTTTAGATGGTGATCATTTTCTATTGCTTACAAGACTGATAGTGAGTCAGTGAAGATCACTATACTCTGGCTTTTGTTTGGATGAGTGTCAAAAACTGTGCGGAGATGGTATAGTGCTGTTTCAATTGCTATCATTTCTGCGTCGTAGTTGTTGCATTTCTCTCCACAGGCTGCAGAGATCTCATTGGAACTTCCATCTGGGTACTGTATTAGTATTACATATCCGGCTTTGGTTGTGCCTTTGAATGCTGAGCCGTCTGTATAGACGTGTATCCAGTCATCTGAATAGCTGTCGATTGTTTGGTGTGAAGAAAGCATCAACTTCACTGGGTCTGACCTCTGCGGTAAGAGCCAGTATGTATTTGACGGGTCGTGATAATGCGCGTACATTTTTTTTCCACGACACATCGTGAAAATACCGGCTGCCCATTTTTTTTTCTCAAAATGTTAAATACTAAAACCACTTTTAATCAGTAATAAGCCATCTTGATACATAGGAATCCAAAACAGGGGCGCTATACCGCACAGGGCACTCTATTCATAAAAGTTAGTTTTCAGATCTTATCCTCCGGTAAGTTCAAATACAACTAAAAAGATGCTTTTCTTTTTTTTTCTTTCAGCATAGGCTCCCAGCAAGGTCCATTGGGGTGTTGCGAGCGAAGCCTTAGAAAAAAATTGACATTTAAAGTTTTCCCAAGGTTGAAAATGGCATTTCTTTATTGCTCCTATTCAATTTGTCATCGCATCATCGACAAATCCGGCAAATCCGGGAACGACGCAATCACCAAGTCAACTCTAATGTTCCCTCATTTACGCGCTCGACTGAACTATTTGACTCTTGGACGCTCTATGAATTTTATTACTGGTAGTATTCCAGTTAGTAGACGTACAGTTTCGTTTTTTATGTGGTCTCTTCTGGTGACGTTGGTGGTTTTGCAGAGACATCTCATTTCGCATGCACTGATTTTTCTTTCTTGTGCCTTGTTTAGAGACCATGTTTGGCACTGGTATGTTAATATTGGTATGAAGATACTATTGATGAGCTGGGACTTCACTTCGGTTGGGATGTTCTTGTGACTGAGCAGGGGTGCCAGCTGGTAGGTCATTGCATTTGCTTTCATAGTTCTCGTTTCTATTTCTTTGTCCATACGCCATCTTGTGTGAAGATGCTTCCCAAATATTTAAATTCATCTACTAGTTGGAACTGTGTTTAGTCAATAAGGATGTTGAGTTTCCCTGAGTTTCTGCTGACCTTCATTAGTTCTGTTTTTGATATGGAGATTTTCATGTTCAGGTGTTTACATTCCTCATTTAGTTTTGTGGTGTGTTTTTGTAATTCCTCTTTATCCATATTTAATATACTCTGGTCATCAGCAAATAGAAGCTTGTTCAGTTCAGTGATGTTGTCATTTGCTGCTTTCGTGATCTTATCCATGGTAAGTGATGAAGAGAAGCGGAGAGAGAACACACCCTTGTCTCACCCCAGATAAAGTTGATAAAAAGCATCAAAAAATTGTAAACTATTTGTTTCTATGGTCTCTCAAGCTATGTAAGACACTAGACTTTGGCAGCCATTTTCTCACTAATTTTACCCCTGAAATCAGGCACCCCCCCCCCCCCCATCTTTTCCAATTGCAAACATTTCAACTTGTATTCAAGATAGATAGGTACATTTTTTATCACAAGCAAGACAAATGGACATAATGGTACCAATAACTCCACATACCCAAAAATTGACGAGCACCAAATTCAAACACGTTGTGACACATATAAAAATATTCACTGAAAGTGCTGCCAAAAAGGATGACTTACTTGAAGAAGACAGCAAGTGCAACCAGTGTGCCCACCACACTGACAGGCAGAGAATATTCTTGAAGTGTCATCTTGACCTGCAATGATATATATATATATATACACATTGGTCCAATATGCCAACTTTACTATTCTATTACTGTACAATATCACAGTCAAAAATTTGTGGTGTAACTTATTTATCAGCAAATATCTTTTCAACAGGTGAATCAATGTTTTCCCATACTTTGAACAGATCTAGCAGTTTGTATTAATGTATGATCTTAACTTAATTATATTGTTCTACAACACAACTGAGGCAAAATTTTTAAACTTTTCTTCATATAAAATACTAAAATTTCGTTACACAGAAAATTGGAGTGTTCACAGCACTTATCGCTTCTAACATATATTTTGCATATATGGCCTGAGTCATTGTTAACCAATGATGCAATTTATCTGGTGTGGCAAAACTTGTTACAAAAAGCTAATATTTTAGTGCTCACTTTTTTTGCACCAAAAGTTCTCAAAACCGGGTTCGCTAAGTATAGTGTCACGATTAAAACAAAGGCCAGACTTGCTCTTAAAAGTGATGTTATATTCGAAGTGACTATTTCTCCGAGCATTCGGGAAAATAAAGTTGAACTCTATTTCTCCAAACGGTTTCCAATTTCGAAACTTTTTGGTTATTTGCGAGATTTAGGCGTCATCCTTTCATTCAAACTTCTGCGAGGACTGGAAAGAAGCATTTTTTGCATCGAATTCAATTTCTAGAGCTAGAGATTTTTAAACGTCTGAATATTCAGATACTTCAGTTGTGGTTTGGGCAATGTTCCCGGACTATACTTCATTTGAAAATACCCTGTCCACGTTGGATTATGCGATTGTGCTGCCTCCATTTTTTCACGTAATTCTGCAACATTTGCATAATTTTGGATTCTCCGCATTTTTTCCCCTTTTATCCCATTTTTTTTTTACAAAACAATTAATTAACGCCTCGCCATGAGACTAAAGGAAAATAATCACCGTAATAAATCTCACTTAAGTGAAAAGTTGGTTATTTCCCTTCGTACTTTTCAAAGATTTGGGATTTGGGGTTCCAGGTTTTGGGTAGTCTCACTCACACTAAGTACCAGCAAATCCCAAAACCAAGTAGCAAATCCGCCCGCCACTACTAACAATCCAGTGTTATGCGGGCGTACGCGTGCCTAACAATTTTTAAAAAAAAATCCCCCCCCCCCCTCTGTTCACACCCTACACATACACTCACACACACACACACACTTACACACTCACAGGCCACTCCATTCGGAGAAATAAAGTTCAAGTTTATTTTCCTGAACTTTCGAAGAAATAAATCTAGATCTAGAGCCGGCCTATTGTATTGGCCCAGCTCAGGTGATGTAAACCTTCTAAAATCTCTAGACAAAACACCCATTGGGATTTTGATAAATAAGTGTTTACAGGAATTTTCTTGAATAAAGCTAATAAAGTAGGCAATGACAGCGCCATTATGGTTATGATAAACCACTTTTCCCCTATCACCCTACTTGTCTTAAACTTTAACTTAAAGTCAATTTAATTCATAAAAGTTAAACTGAAAGTGAATGAATTGTTACAAACACAAATTGATCTAGAAATCTAGAATCTAGATCTAAATCTAGATTCTAGATCTAGATGGCCACCTCTATTCTCACCCGGAGTGAGAATAGTGCAGGCGAGTCTTGTGGCTATTCTCACCCGGTGCGCGTTAACCAAATTTTGCATTCACCCTAAACCACAGAATTCTACACTGTGATATATATAACAGAAAAATTGTAGAATTCTGTGCCGTGAACAAACGTTCCATTACAACTGTAGCCTACTAAAAGCATACAATTTTGTCTGTGGGCAGTGGAGAGAGAGAGAGAAAGAGAGAGAGGAGTAGCGCGAGAATTTCCGGGCAAAACAAAATGGCGACCCGCGTAGTTCGGCTCGATTCGAAAACTTAAATAGCCGTAGCATCTTTGTAGACAACCAAATTAATTTACTATTGTGTTTTAATATCATTTTATAACTTTGTTTTGGTCAATGTGATCGTCCACACCGATAGACAGTATTCAGAAAGAGACACAGAGAGAGAGAAGAGGGAGGAGTTGATCTTGCGAGAACTTCCGGGCGGGTGAGAATAGCCACTTTCGATCTTAGATCTAGATCTAGATCTAGATCTAGATCTAGAGTCTAGAGACCTAGATCTAGATCTAGAGTCTAGAGACCTAGATCTAGATCTAGAGTCTAGAGACCTAGATCTAGATCTAGATTAGATTTATCTAGATGTAGACTCTAGATCTATCTAGAATCTAGATCTAGATCTAGATTAGATATCTAGATCTAGATTAGATCTAGATCTAAAGATATTGATCTAGATATCTAGATCTAGATCTAGATCTAGATCTAGATCTCTAATCTAGATTCTAGATCTAGATCTAGATCTAGAATTAGAATCTAGATCTAGATCTAGATTATCTAGATCAAGAGATTAAAAAAATCTACGATCCCTTCATTCTATCCGCTAACCTGAACTGCATGCCAAACAACTTTAGAGGCACTATCTATGGCTACAAGATACAAACCAAGATCGCACAGCACTTTACAGCAATCTGAAGAAAAAGACTTCCGATGTTTGGTTTATATTTCTAGCGCCACAACGAGAACAAACGCCTGACAACACAAAAAAAAGTCGAACTTTGGGCTAAATAGAAGCCAAATAAGACACGTTTGATGACTTTGTAGTTTTTAAGTGTAACAAACAAAAATTAATAACCGGTAGGTTTAGCGGTATAAAATCAACATTTTACGTCGTCGGTACAATCTTTGGTGGGGCAAGGAGAAATAATAATATTTATTATTATTATTATTATATTTCTAATTACAAAATGATTACATTGTGTCCTTTCTATTTGTCAAGGCAAAAAATCTCTCAGAAATCTTTAATAATTATGCATACTGGCCATATTTAAAAATCTTGTTTACTATCAGTCAATTGCACTTATTTTCTTTCATCCTGTCCTTTTTGGGTCACCTGCATTAAGTAATAATATGTATTATTATCCATATTTAATTTTGTCAGTAATTTGTCTACAAGGTTGGGATCATCACGTGGTACATAAAGGCCTGTGTCCACAGTACTACCTCCCCCCCCCCCATCCCCGGGCCCATTTTTCTCCTTCTCGAGAACCCCCTCAAAAGTCAACATCTATTTACAATAATAGTTCCAGTTAAAATCTAGTTGGAGAACCGTTGGGCGTTGGGATCATCACACATGGTACAGGCCTATTATGTCGACCCATAGTACCCCTCCCCGCATTTTTTCTCCTTCTCGGGATCCACTTCAAAAGTCAAAGTCTATCTACAAAATAGTTCCAGTTAGATTTTGGTTGGAAATCCGTTGGGCTTGACTTCGAAAGGGTGGTTGACTGTGGTGCTCTGGTGTGGTTAATTCTCCTTCATTCCTATCAAACCTTGAACTAATGTAATATTACACTTTTGTGAGGTGAAAAAATATTTTTGACATAATGATGAAAGATATTATTTATCTTTTGTTGATGATAACTAATTTCACTTTTTTTTGCAGCATAAATGATCAGTAATAACAGAGATGTGGAAGCCTAATAAAGTCAACTTGCTTAAAGTCAAGTCTTGCTTACAGTCAACACCTCACTGTAGTCCCGTTTCTTACCTTCTTTCTTAAAGTAATTGTGTTTCTGATACAGTCAACCGCTTGAGTGTTAACCTTGCGTAAAGTCAACAATTTGGTGCTAAATCCTAAGATGTATTCATTCAAAGTTCAAGAAGAGATATTTCGCCTGAGCAAGTGGTGTACACACCTCCAATTACATATTATGTACTTTGTTTTTTCATTATCTCTTGTTTTGGTGACAACTTCAGGATTATATTTCCTGAAATTGAGATTACATCTTGTTTATTACAAGGTACTTTGTAATTTTGTAGCTGTCATCTTCAATTTTCAATGGCCAGTACATGTAGTACAATGGATAAACTCAACCTTGCTCAAAGTCAATACTTTTTTTCTGTCCGGGGTGTTGACTTTATCAGAATTCCACTGTGGGTTTTTTTTAAATATTAAAGCGCTTTTGTCATAGACATGAGTCTCAATTTTTTCCTTTTTATTAGTAAGAAAGAGTGTAATCAATATTTTCCTTGAATGATTTACTCTAATTGTGAGGCAGCGTGGTGAAAC